TTACGTGAGAAGATTCAGTAGCTGTCAGGAATGTGGATCTGCTCGGTGCAGAGATTTGAACTATAGGTACGGCGAAGACTTCTTTACGAGCGACTCGCCTGAAGTGCGGTGCGAGACAGTTTAATATTATTGTTATTCGTTTTGTTCTCACAGAGAGCACTTCCATTGTCTTGACTGCAATTCGAGAGTGTTCGTTAAGAAAGAAGAAATGATTAGACACTTCAAGTGGCACAAAAAGAGGGATGAAAGCTTGCAACACGGTTTTATGAGATACTCGCCTAGTGACGACTGTTCGGACAGATATCAGGGATGCAGTCACAACCGCAAGCAAACACATTATCATTGTATTCAAGTGAGTAGTGGCAGTGACTAATAAATACTTTAAAGTATAATATAAACAAGTATAACAAATTATCGTATTTGCTTTTTCGCAGGGCACCTGTGATAAAGTCTATATAAGCACATCCGACGTACAAATGCATGCAAACTATCACAGAAAAGATTCAGCCATAATACAAGAAGGGTTCCAAAGACTTAGAGCCACGGAAGAGTGTCGAACACCGTACTGCGCATTCTACGGTCAGAGAACTACTCATTTTCACTGCAGACGTGATCACTGTCAGTTTACATTCAAAAACAAAGCTGATATGGGTGAGTCTCGCTAAATAATTTTATATTATTATATTCGTATAACTCGTATATTATGAACAAGGTTATAGTTTTTTGTGTGCATCAAGCAAGGCAAAACTATTCACAATCTAATTTAATAAAAGTGGTGATTGTTAGGGATCTTAAGAATAAATTGGCCAGTCCAATAGCCTCGAAATTTAAAAATAATTAAATATATTACGTATAATTTAATATTTTTCTTAGCCACATTAAAATCACAATTTTGTGGTTTTTAATATTTTTGACTAATAAAGTAAGAGGTTATATTATTATATTATATTATTACATTATGGTAGATTTGACCATATTATGGTTGATTTCAAACAGATTTTCAATATTATATACATATTTTGTAAAAATAATAATGTATAGTACATGAAGCATTTTTTTTTTTTCAGAAAAACATAAAACTTATCATATAAAAGACGAACAATTAGCGAGGGACGGATTCAAGAAGTTCATGAAACCCGATCCTTGTGGTTTTTCCAACTGCCGGTTCTCGCAGGTGTGTAATCACATCCACTGCGTGAGGGACGGGTGCAACTACGTTCTTCACTCCAGTGGCCAGCTGCTTAGCCACAAGCGAAAGCACGAACGCAAGGACAGCGAAATTGCGTACCGAAAGTTCAAACTGGCCCAACAGGCCGTGATGAACATGGCTGGAAGTGGCGGCGGTGGTGTCGTCGGTGGTATCGTGGTAGGTGGAGGTGTTGGCGCCGGGAATCCACCGGACCAGGTTAGTGACGATGAATGGGTGCCATGGGACGGGAGACGAGTGGCTCACGGTGCAGCGACCGCGGCAGATTCGCAAATGAACGAGCTGTCGATATCGCCCAACAGCTCACTGCAGTTCCTCCACCAGCAGGCCAACTCGTTGGCCTCTCTGTCTGCACTTGCCGCACAGGCCGGCGACGCGGCCAGCTACAGCAACAGCTCGAGTGATGGAGGCGGCGGTCCCATGTCGCCACTATCCTCCACGCCGCGGGCCCCGTCAAAAATGAGCGGTGGTCACGGGTTCTTCACAGACAACTCGTCCACTGGTGTTGCGGACGGTGGGTCACCCGAAGACGTCGAGATGTGGCCAAGATACCTGACCCGGTTTAAACCTAACACATGTACCGGTGGATCTGGTTGCGTTATGTCCGACATTGACCATTTCCACTGCAAAGAGCCCAATTGCGAATCACCCGTCAAGTACGTTAATARTKTTAATACCACATTGTCAACCACCCTTAATATGAACGTTTAAAAATATTTTGAAAATAATATAAATATACCATAAAATATAATTATTTTTATTTTATAAATATAAATACTTTTTTTCAAATTTACTAATACCTATAGTATACACTATTACGAATTACGATTCAAAAAATGACTACAGAAAACGAATTAGTAGTTAGTACCTATGGTATAATATACATTTTGATTACTGTGTTGGCTGAWGTTTTTAATAAACAATGTTCTTATAAACTAAACGCATGTGTTTCATTTCCTTATCAGGACTCAAGACGCAGCCGAAACGCACGCTCGCAACCAYGACAATCAGGAACGGATCAACGAGAGTTTTTACCCAGGCGGACCGGCCTACTGTCAGGACACGTGCACCAAGGACCAACATTTCCACTGCGTTTTGGTAAGTGCACMTTCCCCGACAAGACGACATGACTAACTTATACACACAATACGCCACCATAATACCGTATCAATAAACTATAAAGCAAAAACGGYAATWACACGGGGCTCATGCGTTTTGCAGGAAGGATGTTACGAGGCGGTACTGCCGTCGGAGCGCGGCGAGCACATCAAGAGTCACGACGTCCCGTACGGCCAGTACAATTCGTTGGACGCTCTTTTCAGGAGAAAGCGCGGCCGACCACCTAAGAACCGAGTGATTGAAGTGTGGAACGACTATGCGGGTGGGTCCACCGGTGATTCCCCGCAGGCCATATTCACCAGTTTCAAATTGCCCAAGCCATCTCAGTCGTCGGGACAGTCGCAACAGTCGGAAGATGCGGAAGTGCCCACTCAGACCACACTGGTAAGACTCACCGTGATATATTATGTAAAAAGAAGATACGCGATATTTATATGCGTATCATATTATTTTATTGGCATTGTTGTGTCATATTGGTGCTGCACCTATACATGTGGTTTTAATAGATAGGTTTTTTCGTCTGATTTTCGAAGCGAGGGTAGAGAACCCCAAGTGTTGATAGTTTGGAGGGGTCGAACGGGCCCTTGCGTTACGACGACGTTTTCTGACGATTTTTATTTTATGATCATATATGAAAAAAAATGTATATAAACGTTCTAAAACCAATACTCGAGTTGAAAATGTTCATAAAAAATACTAAGAATGTAATTAATATGTTTAAAAATGTATCTATGTTAAATTGATAACTATGCCTTTTTAGATTGATATATCGAGTTTTACCTATAGCATAATGTTTCTGTTTTATTTTTATTTTTGTATCGTACTATTGTTCATTATAACCAAAACGGGTGAAAAAGAAACGGTCACTATTTTATGTAACATACATATAAATAGAACGTAATAAATTATTTTCCGAAGATTTATAAAATATTCATTTGTGTCCTTTTTTAGGAACAACACTGTTTCGAGGAATATCGTTACGGTTGTCCAGACAATCTTTGCAAGTACACCAGCGAAGGCGTCGCGTTACACTATCACTGCCGAAGGCCCCGATGCTTTTTCGCCACTGATAACGACGAAGAGTTACAAGCCCATTCCACGCATTTCCATGACAACGTCACCATCATGGAGGGATTTTTGTTCTTCGACAAATCGGTCGACTGTCGGCTAGAGACTTGCGCAAAGTGAGTGCAATTATATCATAATTATATAACATAAAAATGAATTATGCTGAAGTTGATATTATAATAATATATAATAATGCAGCAGTACGCGGTACGCCATACACCTACTGCACGTTTCGTTAATTCGTTATTTTATTTCACGGTCCGTTTTCATATTTTTGCAGTAACACGATCAATAAGCATTTTCACTGCGTGAGAGCTGGATGCGGTTACTCGTTCACCAGATACACTCAAATGGCTCAACATTTATTACAACATCAGGCCTCCGCTGGTTTGCAGATTTCTGAGAAATTAGGTAAGTCTGCACTAAACATTCAATGATATTGTAGTATAAAATATACGTATACAGAATAATAAATATATCGTGCCTATTACCTATCTTATAATATAACACCTGTCATTTGTCACAGAAACTCAAATCAAAGAAGAGATCTTGTCTCCGTCGAGGCCCCAAGCCACCCCTTCCCCATCTGATTCAGCTACAAGCCAACGGTCAACAACGGGTAAGTGTTTTATTCTAATTTTTATTTTTATTTTTTTGTTTTAAAGAAATTATCTTAGCGTAGTATTTTTGTCTTGATTGTTTTTTTTTTCTGTCTTGTTCAAAGTGGTGAAGGCTTCGGGCACTTTCTACCCTATGAGCGGCCTATCGAACGCTAAGAGTTCCTCTCCAAATTTTTCAGACCCTGCAACCCTGACAGGTGGGTCATGCAGAAATTATTGTTGAATAGTTATTATAGTTATAATTATAATTATTATTATTTAGAAATTGATTGTATATATGATATACGTATTACATATATCATATATGTATATTATATATTATACACACATAGTATTACGTACATAGCTTCGCTTTTTTCGGTGGAAGTGATCGATTTTACGCGTTTTATTACTATCGTCACACTATAATACTATATACTATATATATAGTCGAAAAACTTGATTGTACACCACGCGATCCTTGCAGTTATTAATTAGCTAGTATTGATTATTAATTATTATATAGTATCAAATTAAATTGTCAATATAAATTTAACTATTTGAATAACTAACAAATATTAATGGAAATATTGTTTGTGCATTATTTAGAAAAACCAAAAACCGATTCCAGTTTAAGTATCGAACCAGTTGTGACTATTCAAGTTTTACCAGAATGGATGAGTTTAGAACGACATGAGAAATACGGACCCGAGCAACCCTGCAGTCGCGCTTTTTGCAAGCTCAAACGAAAAGAACATTATCACTGTAACGCATGCAATCAGGTAAATATAAATGCAATTATGAATAATGGTATACTTTTTCAAGAGGATTTTTACACTGTAACTTTTGGTGTATGACTTATTAATGCTTAACTAAAACTACGACGCGAGACATCGAAGTCCTTCTCCTTAAGTATAATATAGTTAAATAATAAATACCATTTATTTTGATATACCTATATATACGGTACAACGATGATGTCCTTAGATAAAAATAGTTAAAACTGTTTATTTTGGTATTTTAACTTCGTCGCCACACACTACTAATGGTGGAAATTTATCGGGACGGCGCATCCCAAACGAAAACTTAGGCATAACATTGAACTTGTACTTGAGCGGGGGATTGTATGCCTGTGGGCTCGGCGATTGGCTCTTTATCTCGTTGACCAACAAAGGATTTTCGTATTTCTTCGCTAGACTGTATTGGGGCGCTTTGCTTTTGTATTTGTWTAAAGGCACAGTTTGATACACCGGCCCAGGTGATTTGATGTCTACGATTTCATCAATTTTTTTAGCCAGCGTAATTTTTTTCTTCGACAGTGTTGACGGCAACTTGTAAACGTTGGATCCAGGGTTGGCGGCTCTCTTAAAAAAACGTATATATAATATACACACAATGATACATAAACTTTATATGTACATAAGTAGTCAATTACATATAAAATACAGATGAATAATTGCTTTTTAATAAGTGAAACGCGATCTTTATGGGTTCCTACTATTTATTATCGAACTGAATGTTCAAGACTGCAATTACCCCAAAAGTACTATTTTCAGGAGATCATTTTTTTAAATTTGATATGGTAAAAAATACTAATGCGTTTAATGACAAAACAAAATAACAGCACATTAATATAATCAATATTTGAATAATTTTTATTTCGCTATCGATTGGAAACTGTTCGATAAAGGGAAACCAATGGTGTTCTACCTGSAGGTTAACCAGATGGTACAGTAATTCAGAATTTAAATTAAATTAATAACTATAGTAGGTATTATGTTGGACATTACGGGATCCTGGTCAATTATCCGAGCTAGCATTTTGAGCACGGGTCCCTTGACCGGGACTCTAGGCTTGTACGCCGCTGGCCCTGGGTTGTCCAAGTCACCGTCCAAAGGCAGTTTCTTGGCCATGGTGTACCGTGGTGCGACCGCTCGGCCACGACACGTCAACTGTGCCAAATTGTACACTACCGGTCCTGGCCCTTCCGTCTCGTTGTGTAAGTCCAGCCGCTGATGCATCGAGCATGATGGTGCGCCGGCCACGGTAGGCAACCGGTTCCGGCGGCCCACCGTCGTCCGGGCTCCATATGCTGCAGGTCCTGGGCCCAATTCTTCTACTCCGAATTCGAATACCTTRCGGTCCATGTATCCCGGACACTTCTTCATGATGACGTCTAGGTGGTTTTAAAATTATTTTCAATAGAAATTTTTTAATTCTACTCGCTTCAATACGAGCGTATTTTATGTTAAAAAAAATACAATATTGTGTAATACCTATATACCTATACAGTATACACCGTGTCGACGTGGAAACAACAATTTACGAGACCAATCGTTTTTTATKTATAGTTACTACGTGTTATTATTTTATAATAAATAATATTTCAACAACGACGCGTAAACATTTATTCGATAGGAATTATTCCGTCTTTAAAATATAAACGGCATATTAAACGGTTTCAATTCTAATCAATTTAAGTGCGCGCACATTTCACACTATCAACTCTTTGCTGATTAAAATTGATGATGGCGTAAAAAAAAACACTCAATATTTGTAAAGAAACGGAGGGTATCCGGTTACGTGTCTTGAATTTCGCATCAACAACTTCGTTAACAATAACAAAAATAACAATCTCGTGAGAATTTCAAGCACATTACAAAAAAAAAACTTTTTCTACAAAAAATTGTTTTTTAAGGAAATAAAAGAAGTGAAAAATCATTTTTTAAAAGAAATGAGTAGGTAGTAATATTCGCTGTAGTAGTAGTAGTAGTTTTAATCGATYGTGCGGAATCGCTTCCGAAAAGATGATTAATGATGCGACGACAAAAGGCGAATATTATAGAGAAAAAACGCACCCGGCTCGGTTTTATTATTATCATTATTATTATTTTTTACCCACTGCGTGTAACGCCGCCGCCGCCCCAAGAAAATCGATAATCGATCAGCATCAATGTCATCGGTTTCCGCGGCGTTCACCCCTTTTCGTTTTTTCACTTCTTTCGATTTTCGTTCCGGCCACATACATACAAGTTGCGATAATTATTGTCGTCRAGTCCCCGGGAAAAACGCGCAGGGTGCGCGTTTCGTTTTTATACGTATAATATAATATATATATTTTTTTTTCGTTGAACATGCAATGTATGCAATTGCGAATGACACGCGTAACGAAAGAGTTAAATGATTGACGACTCTACGGAACAACATTACGTACGCAGACCGCGTTCGTAGCCGTTTTATTTTATTTATTTTTTTGCACCACTCGTTCCTTTTCCGGGTGTTAATTTTTTCGGAAACTGAAAAAAAAACGATTAAAAACTACGGGCGTATTTCCCCTTTGGCTCCCGCCGAATYGCGCTGCTAATGATTTCCGCCGCCGCCGTTTTCCCAKGGTTTTTTGTGTGTTGTCACGCATCGCGCAATTTCTAACGGCCGGGCAACAAGTCGCTACTACAACTGCCGTCGTCAACGTCGCAACCACCAAATCACGTGTCGTACTCGATCATAGTTCATACATACATACATAATAATATAAATATATTATTATATCGTTTGAGAAATGTTTACGTGATAAAAATAATTTATATTGCTTCCGATTGTCGTTTCAATTATTATAGAATTTTTTGATTCCACTCACTCCGTTACACTGTTCCGCTGTCTCACACCTGTATAGTAAATAATAATTCAAATAATAATCGTTATAATAGTTATAATAATATTTGCGGCAGAACGAGGCTATTTCAATATTTCACTCAAACGATATCCGAGCGAAAACCGGTCGATTCTTATGCTGGGAACTCGCTACGTACTACTATACRGCCCCTCCCGCGACGTTTGGCTCCTTGGCTGCACGCCGCCAGCCACCCGGACGGTGTTCATGTATTTTTCTTTAAGCGCTAAATTATTCATTTCGTATTACCACTTTAGTCAGTAGGCTACCCGCAGCGTTCAATAATAATAATAATAATATTGACGTGTTTGGACCGAGTTTGTTGTCGTTAAATCTGTCAAGTCGTCTGCAGATAAGTAAAAACCGTGTAATATTGTCGTTGAAAAACCAAGACACTATCAGCAACTATTAGGTCGTTATAATRATTGCTACGCACAGTTATTCGCAGTATTTAAAATCCCAGTGCACGTAGTATTATTACCTTTCTCTCTACTTCTGCCGCTGCGTGAAACGATGTGGACCGTATGGGTCATAATATGATATAATTATTTATTGTTATTGCTCGTACGACGATGACGCGCTTGTTGCAAAAATAAATAAATYCACAAAAAACTTAAAAAAATTGCAAGACAGATAATACCTATCTAACTATACGTGATGTGTTAACGAAAAACGTGGTAAATGATMGTTTTTTCCATATTGTCGATTTATCACTTTTAATTATTTACGTACATTAAACATGTATATTTGTGGCGATCGATAATTCCTAACAACAAGGACCTGTAGTACGCCCAATGCGTGCGTTTAATAAATAATTATTTTAACATAAAATYATACGCCGTGTAAATGCAGACAATAAAATATCATTACAACATAATATAGGTACCTACTATGTAATTGCCGATGTGACCTTCAATTTTTTTCGTTTTGTCTWTTCRTTCCGTTGTTCTTTTTTTCGCGCTGACATCGATGCAATAATATCAATACTAATAACAACGTGTCGTGGCCCCTGGGCGTCATGATGATATCGCGCACGATAGTATTTACGTGTATCGTTTATCGTACTCTAATAYGCCACGGAATCGTTTATTTCTGTCGATCGGCGGATAACGCACTTCAAAAAATTATGTTCAATAAAATAAATTATGACCAATCGATACAAAGAAATTGTTATACGCCACGRTCGAGAGGGTCTTCTCTGTACGCAGGTCATCGTCATTTTGTCATTACATCGTCTATTGGTATTATATAGGTATATTTTAATACTCGGGCATTCTTTTTACTATAGGCCCTATTATGGCATAATAGGTATAGATGTATTATTATTGTAGCATATATCGAACGTAAATTATTAAGCTCGGTATGGGATTTGCGGTATTGTAATAAAAATAAAAGCTTTTTTCASTAATATAATATTTTCACCACTCGATAGAACTTAACGCGTGTATACGAAATTATTTGTGCAAATTTCAGACATAATAACTATTTATATTGCACATTAATCAAAGCAATTTTTTTTTTACAGAAACCCTTCATCACACTTAATTCGTTGATAACAATCATATTTTATAATAAATTATTATTCGTTGAGATTTCATCAATAGMYAATATTAAATGACTAACACATTAGTCATAACTCATAAGTTAAAAACGAGAAAATTTACCAGCGATCGATTTGATCTAAGTTTTGTAGACATTTATTTGCGATTTCCATCAAATATCATGCTTGTCGTCGGAAAACAAACACTTGGCGCAACCTGTTGGCRTACAACATTAAAATGGCTTGTATCAGTTGTATCATCGTATTCTTTGTTTCACTCGTATTATATTTATAAATTCAGTTTGTAGTTCGTTTACCCGCCGAACGTAACCACTCATCCAAAGTTGCAGAAAACATAAATTATAAGCACGTCATTAACGCCCACATTTTCCCCGTTTTGAAGTATCAATACATTACATGGATAATACTAATAAATTATAAATAAATATGTATGTACTATAAAAGTRTAAACCATGCAGTAATCATAAAAATAGTATAGAATTTAATGAATTGCCGCGAAAACGAGCAAGTTGGAAAYGTGTGTTGTAGACAGCAAAAATGATCAGTTTTTTGCGTCTTCATCGTCTCGTCTTTAATTTACTCGTTATATATAATGTAATTATGATTGTCGATAATATTTCATACAAGAACGAGTCCGTCCGCGTGCAGCAGCATTAATGAATTACCATATACTATAGTCTATAATATAAATACTATTAACGTAATATCTAAAAACGATTATTTATTTTTCGTTTTTTCAAGGCTTTTTCGGAATTAGACAAGCTTAAGCCGCATATCATCAAGCACACGCCGGGTGCTTTACCAACATTTATGCAAAAAACCGAGAACATCAATAACAACAATAACAACAACAACAATGACGATACCGAAGAGATCGCACAACATCCACCTGGTGAGAAACCTATTTTCAATTAATTATATCATCCAAAAAATAATAGCTAGTTGACTAAAAGTACATAAATATATCCTTTGATCGTAAACATTCCTAATCCACTTGAATTTCATATTTTGTATTTTAAACATTAATACAGTTCTATTTATCAAGATAGTAAATAATAATAATTATATCGTTTCTCGTGGTATGCTCGTAGCACTGACAATGATGCCGATCTCGAGCGACAGCAACTCGGCCCCCGCCGGTATGCCGCACTCGCCTTATCCACCAGGATTCGGTGCAGCCATGGCGGCCGCTATGGCCAACCAACAGTTCGCGTCTCTGATGACGTCCCAAGGGTTGCCTTTCATGCCACATGCCATCCAAGCCATGTACTCTTCTCCAACCAGTAAGTATTCATTACTATAATATAATCATTTGGCCGGTCAGTGTGTTGGTTTTTTTTTATAAAAGAATAAATCCGAATAAGTGACTGTCAAATTCTGGTCCTAAATTTCTAAAATCATAAAATTCATAAAATCCCCCGCCAAATATATAACAGTGTAAAACATTTTTATGCTGCAGTCCCAAACTTCGCAAATTTAGTTTTAAATACGTTTTATCATCATTCGATACTTTTTTCCCCCAAGCACGAAGAGTATCACTGCACTGTTATGAATAACGAATATATTGTGCGAGTGACCGTAATGGGCAAAAATAATGTAAACATGACATAATTATGGTCACGCGGCGTTTCATATAGGCTATTCAAGTACACTACACTGTCTCCTGACGGTAGGTCAGATTTACCGATATCGTACGGATATGGACATATTATGGTTTAATTTTAGACTTCAAAATATGACCGATGTAAGTGAGATGAATTCATTGCATTGTCAATAGTGAATAATGCGTCTAAGGACTATGCATAGTCAATTAATAATGTAAATAGGCAACTGCGAGAATTAACAATACCTGTTCTATTAGTATAATAGTTTTCGTATATTTTTATTTTTTTTTCTTATGATGAACAGTCAAAATAATCAGTATATTTATAATAATT